TTATTAGCTCCACCTTGCGGAAATTCCGGATACTATTATTTTGCTTGTCGTATTATAGGAGAATTTACGGTAACTAGCGGTATTTACCGGTAGCTTGCGGTAGACTGCGTACAGCTTACCGCAAAATAATGCGGTATCACCCGCGCATTTTGAATGGCTGCATCTGTAAGCTCCTACTGACACAGAATTAGAGAGAGAAAAGTTTATTAAAAGAGAAAATGAAAGTTCTGAAAAATAAGCAAAAGGTACACCGTGCTAAAGAAATGTATTATCTTAAAAAATTGAAATGCTTAGAAGTTCAGAGGAACCATAAATGTTTTTTGTTTTTTTTTTGCTCAAGTAAATTTATAAGTTTAATTTCCAGTTCTGTTAAAAATAAAACTGTGAACTTTACTGGTCATTAGTTGGTGTCTTTTGTCATTATTTAGCAATTGCGATGTGTTCACTTGTTCGTCCGGAGTGTCTTTCACATTAAGATGCCGTTTTTTTCTTTAATGTATGCTTGGGTACCACCCATTTCCTCATTATTACTACTTTCCTCTGATAACCACAAATATTTAACAAATCTATTCAGTTGACTCCCAGATTTTAAAGAACACATTTAAGCTCACGATCCATTTATATAACTATTTGCTTAAGTTTTGTTCTCTTCACTCCCTAGGATATCTTAAAATTTACATCTACTAATAATGATTGACATCAAACGTATTTATTAGTAAATGACACTTTTGTTAATACACACATATTAATAAATTTCATTATTAATAAATGTGGTATGAGTGTTAAGCAATTTGAATTAAATATTGCAATAATTTTCCAAGCGACAGATGCATAAATTCATAAAGTGCATAGTGGCGATATTATTTCCTCTACATTGCGGGATCCTTCCAATGCGATCCTGCGTTACACCAAGTATGGTACTAAGTTGCTTAAACCATATGAAGAGGTGGTTTAAGTTAGTTCGCTACTTTAGTCACCTCTAGAGGGCAGCAGCTGTTACTTTGTGTTCGTTGCAATTGAGAACAGGATTAGTACGGTGCTGCAGACTAAGCACAGCGGCAAAGTTTGTTGCAATTGGTCGTAAGGTGGAGCACAAGTTTAAACCACAGCTGCATATTAAACACGGGTTGAACTCCTGTTAGTACGCTACTTTCAGTTAGTTGCAATTGACCCTGCATGACTTTAAGAGCTATAAAAAACGGTTTAGATGGTTAAAAAAACACTTTTTATTCGAAAAAAAAACGAGTGATTTTTCTTCTTCGGGATCAGCTTAGAATCTTTGTGTATGCTGTAAGTTTTTTAATTTTTAAATGTTTTAAACACTTTAAATTTGTAAACAACGTGTTTCGTACGGGAAAAATCACGTTATCCTGTCTTCTTGTGGTGTGAAGCAGATCAGCAGGTCACTGAGAAAATAGCGCCCCTCCCACTGAGCTCCATCAGAGAAGAGGCAAAACTGAGAGAGAGAGGAGGCTGGAGTGCTTACAGCACCGAGCACATCTGCCTAAAATTAATCAAGCAACGTAAATCATTTAATTTAACTAGCATTTTAAAAAAATGAGCATTAAAAATAGTTTTCTTACCAGTTAGTTTTATTTTTTAAACCATCACTGTACAATTTCACTCTAATAAATTATTGCCCTTCTTCCACATCTTGAAACAAATATTAATTTACAAGACTTTGTTCAAATATACATTAAATCTGACTATCAGAAAATAAGTAAAATACAAAATTTAAAAATAAAGACAAATTAGGGTAAAATATAATTTAAAATATTTTTCTAACTAAACAATCATTAATAACAATGTTGAAAAGTGTTACTGTTTATAAAAATATAATTGTATTACCTAAAGAATAGGGTTGGCACACAAGCACGCTTTTTGTATCTTTTTTTTCAGAAATACAACAGGAGCACCAGATGTCTTAGTGGCTTTCAAAATTAAATTATGCATGCAAACATGTTCTTTTGTAACACACAGCTATATGTGATTTCTTTATATATTTAAGCTTTTGCAAATGTTCATGCATTCCTCTTCTGCACTATGTCTGGTTCAGGTCCATCATGGACCTACAGAAGAACCAGCAGTACCTTTCTACGGGAAAAACTGAAAATACATGTTCAACCCATTAGTACCAGCCTAACCAAGAGTGGACCCAGTTTACACAGTCAGTCCAAATCCATATCCCTGCAATGATCCCTTCATATAGACAAACTGTTCATACAGATTCATCCACTCTACATACAGAAAGAGCCTTATAACTGAAATTGGATGAGGGAGCCAAAGCCTATCCCAGGAATCCATGGGCACATGGCAGGGTACAAGCTGGACAGGACTCCAGTCTATCACAGGACACACACTCACACCGGAGTCAATTTTCTCAGAAGCCCATCAATCTACCAACATGACTGTGGGAGGAAACTGGAACACCTGGAGGAAACCCATGCAAACACGGGGAGAACATAAAAACCCATGCAGATAGCATCCCAGAACTCAGTCCAGGGTCCCAGTGCTGTTGGGCAGCAATACTAACTACTGTGCTACCATGCTGTCTTCCTAGGAATTAACTGCACAAAATTAAAAGTTGCATGTACTGTATGCAAAATCCAATTTTTATTAAGACAAAATGTGCATAGCAAACCAACAGAACTAATTATATGTTTAAGAAACGATCTTTTTTTAATTCTAGAACTTAGAAACAAACTACACACTATTACACACTGTCCAGACCCAGAGCAGGAGGGAGACCTATCTTGACCTTCCACATATACTAGAGCACAATGGAAACACAGTCTGCTCAGAGGGGTTTGATCAGCAGGTCTGCAGACTGTGATGTTTGATGAACATCTGGAGGAGTTTGTTCTGTCTCTTTAAAGATAAGGAATTCTGCCACCTTGCTCCACTAAGGAATCTTCTTCAATGTTTAGATTTACTCACATCCCTCGGTTCTGTAATAACAAAAAAAAACCACAATGAATGGATCTTAAAATTGAACTCTTGCAGATTGTCATTTTATTTTTATTGTTATTTATTTAAGAAGTTGTGCATGACAGTATTTATGGCTAATTATATTAATGCTTAAATCATATTATATTATGTCAGAGTACATGTATTCAGAAGCCATTGACACAACTCTTCCAACAGACACTATTGACTGGAGAAATTGAAATGCAGTGCCAATCCACGTGTTGGATACCAAAACTGAACCAAGCAATTATAGATCAATAAAGTCTGATTTTTATTACATGGAAAGACAAATTATAAAAACTAAACTAGAGGACTACACACATGGAAAAGTCAACAGGGATTTAGAGAAGGTAAGATTTTTAATAAAGTTCAATATAAAATATCAATTCTAAAATTACAGGCAAAGAAAATGTATGTTTGTATTGAGAATTATTTAATAAATAGATAAAAGAGATAAGATATGAGTCAAACTGCGGTGCTTTAATAATTGGAGTACCACAGAGATCCGTATTAGGACCACTGCTCTTTTTAATTTATACCAATGAGCTCTTCATGATACCAACTTAGTTGGATTAGCAAACACTGTGGAATCATCAAACAAAATTATAAAACATTAGATAGAAATTAATGGACAAACAACTGGCAGATAATGATTGTTTGTTGTTTTGTTTGGCAGATACTGTTGTGAAGAGAATGATTGAGCCAGATGGACAAAAGACAAGAGAAAGAAAGGGACAAAGTAAAAGTTGAGCAAGAGAGTGAGGAGCAGGATTAAACATGTCAGACAAGAAAATGAGAGGGGAAGCTTTTCTTCCAAGATCAAGTATCTTATATTTCTCATCACAGTTTTATTACTGGGCAACTGGGTAAGACACACTGAGATGAGGAGGAATTTAGAAAGATGTGTCTGAATGTGTAGCCCTGTGTGGAACTAAATCCCACTTGCTCCCATTCAAAATCATGACCCCACCTGCAATATTGATCCAAACCTCACTCAGATATAAAAGGGGAACTACAGTCCCAATTTCTTAGACTGGGTCCTAAATACAGATGCAGCCACTCAAAATGCGCGGTACAAACCCGTGGTACGGTAATCTATCAACAAGCCACCGCGGGGCACCGTAGGGCACCGCGGTAAGTGATTGGCTGGCCAAAATGACCGACAGGAGCACTCATGGTGAATTGGTTGGTAGTGAAAAGATTTAATCATTTAATGTCTTTACTGTGAACATTTTAATCCGCTTAGTTTTGAATATTTATATGGAATTTTACCACTAAAGGGAAATTTTAGTAGCTGAGCATAAAAAGAAGAGGAGCATAATGCATCTGAAGGTCATAAACAATATTAATTTAGGAACATTAACATTACTGTATTTACGTAAACTGTACTGTGTATGGCTGGTCTTGGTAGTTTAAAGAAAAAATACACACCAGTCTTCCATTTCTCCCTAAACATTTTAAGCATGAAAGTTTTATGAAACGGTACCCAAATATGCGATTGCTGTA